GCTGTATGTTTTATATTCAATTAATGTATGATCTGATTAGTCGACTAATCGAAAAAAATAATCGGTGATTAATCGATTATAAAAATAATCGTTTGTGGCAGTCCTATTACACACACACACAAAGAGAGGTTTAGTCTTGTGACACTTTCCTGTCAAATAATAGATTCTCACATACTGATCATGTGACATCATGCTATCCAGTCAGAGCAAACAGCTGATGCAGATGTCTGTGGAATCCACATTAATCCACTGCTTCTCGCCTCTTTCCTGTTATTGTTAGGATGAAGGCTCCTCGTCAGACAAACCCGACACGCAAACCTGAAATCATCCTCTGCAACTCAACTTAGGCTGCTGTGTTTCTTGTTCGACTAAGCTGCAGGAAGAAAAAAGGGAAGATCAGCAGTTCTCTCCAGGAGCAGCTTCACCTGCCTCCTGCTGACTCTAATCTGCGGTTGGAGGTTGCTTCCTGCAGGATTTTCTCATCTAACTACACTTCCATTTTCCCATTTTACCGCTCGCTGCTAAATTACAATTGAACAAAGCAAGCAGTGTGGCACTACATCCCGTTTCCAGTTTATTCCACGTCATAGCCCAGCCCCTACCACCGCACTTCCCTATAATCACTGTTTTCTGCTCTGAATGACTTATCGAACCTCAGTTGGTGGATTCCAGTGCCATCCTACACCTCCTGTACAGGAACTCCCCAGCCTCCCACAGAGATGTTAGCCACACTCAGAGGACAACACAATTTAAAAAAAATAAAGGCTTAGCATTCCATAAAGGAACGCACCTTTCAATCTAGAGTTTTCATCAAACCTTGGAATGATTGTGTGCAACACTGTAACACTGGGAAATCTCTCTCAGTCTGTTAGTGCGTGGTGTATGAGTTGTGGATGACTCTCAGCTAATGCACTACCAAATTTTAGCTCAACATTTGTAAAAAAAATAAAATAAAACCGATGCATTTTAGCTTTTTTTTTTTAGTTTGCTAAGATTAGTGGTTCATTTGAGTCTGTTTCAAAAGTTGAATGGTTGAAGATGTACATCCTGTCATAACTTTCTGAAAGTGATTAAAATCTGTCCACTAGTTYGTGAGATGTTTTGCTAACAGACAAAACGACTTGATTCGAAGAGTTAATGGAAAAGATCAAAAAGAAATTCTTGCACAATCAGTTCGAGCTCAAAATATGTGTTGGCAACGACTCTTAGCTACCACCAAASTGAACTGAAGTTAGGTTTTTATTCATAAAACTCAGTTATCATTGTTTTTGTGCTTGTTAAAGGAATCCACGATTAGTTGTAACATTAGATTTTATTTGATAAACATATATTTTAACTGTAAAATAAAGAC